ATTTACTAAACAGAAGTTTTCTGCTTTTTCTTTTTATTTTTCCAATTATACCTTAGGTTCAGGGGTACATGTGCAGATCGTGTAGGATTGTTGCATAGGTACATACATGGCAAGGTGGTTTGCTGCCTCCATACCCCCTTCACCTATATCTGGCATTTCTCCACATGTTATCCCTCCCCAACCTTCCCATCTCCTCCTCCCTCCCATAGCTCCCCACAACAGACCCCGGTGTATGATGATCCCCTCCCTGTGTCTATGTGTTCTCATTGTTCAACACCTGTCTATGAGTGAGAACATGTAGTGTCTGATTTTCTGTTCTTGTGTCAGTTTGCTGAGAATGTTTTCCAGATTCATCCATATCCCTACAAAGGACACAAATTCATTGCTTTTTATGGCTGCATAGTATTTAATGGGATATATGTGCCACATTTTCCTTGTCCAGTCTGTCACCCATGGGCATTTGGGTGGTTTCCAGGTCTTTGCTATTGTAAACAGTGCCACAGTGAACATATGTGTGCATGTGTCTTTATAATAGAATGATTTATAATCCTTTGGGCATATATATATAATACACACACACACACACACACACACACACACACACACACACACACACACACACACACACACACACACACACACCCAGTAATGGGATTGCTGGGTCAAATGGAATTTCTTTTTCTAGGTCCTTGAGGAATAGCCACACTATCTTTCACAATGGTTGAACTAATTGACACTCCCACCAACAGTGTAAAAGTGTTCCTATTTCTCCACATCCTCTCCAGCATCTGTTGTCTCCAGATTTTTTAATGATCACCATTCTAACTGGCGTGAGATAGTATCTCAATGTGGTTTTGATCTGCTTTTTCTTAATCCTCTTTCTCTTCTTCTTCCTCCATCTTCCCTCTTTTCTCTCCTACTTCTTTTCCTACTTCTCCTTCCTCCCCCTTCTCCTCCTTCTCTCCTTCTACTTCTCCTGCTTCTCTTTCCTTTTTTCTCTTCTTCCTTCCCTCCTCCTTCCTTTCCCTCCTCTTCTGTCTGCTTTTTCTTTTAATTATTTAAATGAAGGAGATGAGTCTTTAGGGGCAGAATGGTGATATTTCATATCTCTTTTAGTTGACTCTACAACAGGTATTTAAAAAATGCTCTGGGAAATGCAAAAAGAACATTTCTATCAGCTTAAGGTGTATCTTCCCCACTCCTTCAGTATAATGAACTAAACACAATAATGGAGTCTTTCATTTTTTGTGTGTTTATTGAAGTACTATATGAATGCTTTAGAAAAATGAAAATTGAAAATTACTTCCCTTGTCTTTACTCACCTAGGAAGACCCTAAACTGTAGGAAGTTTTTGCTCCAAATATTACCTACTAAGACTAGGAATTTCAAATGATAGGTTTATAGAATTAAAGGAAACTCAAAGGCCTTTGGTCACAGTTCTTGGTAGATTTGTCCCTTGCTATCCATAGGAAATTAATTCCAGGACTTCAATAGACACCAAAATTTGTTCATATTTAAGTCTATTTACAAGTCTTCAATTTGTCTATTAACAAATTCCTCTCTCTGCCATGTCTCTCATCTCTCTATTAGCTCTAAGTGCCACAAATTTGTACTGTGCTACAGAATATTACAGACAAGTAAGTTTGTTGTGAATCCAGAGGTTAGCAGGTAAGAGGAGGTTGGTGACAGAATACATGGTATGTTCAGGATGTTCTTCTGCCTGAGTCTAGTCCTGTGCACAGGAACAGACAAGGGCTCTTCAGTGCATTTTCAAAGCTTAGTTCTCAGAACAGAACTATGAAGTTTGAACTAACAGGGCTTTGGAGGATACAAGTTGTTTTTGCTGTTTTTTCCCTTTATCATTTCACAAACAGGAGAACATAGTGGGCTCCAAGTCAATCAGCCAGGGTCATGACTATACCACACCCCAATGTAGAAACCCAGGCTATTTAATCTCATAAATTTATCTGCAGATAAATTTATGTTCCAGGAAAGTGAACAACATTTTAGTAAGTCTTAAAATCAGTTTAGTGGGTAGTGGTCAGCATTAAGGAACAATAGAATAAAGCAATAAAACTTTGTAACAAAGAGTATATTGCATAAAAAAGGGAGTACAGAGCTAACATAATAAAGTAATACAGAGGTAAATTAGTTTGACCTCTGTATTACTCAAATGAATAATACAGAGGTCAAATGAGTGGCCAGAGGTCAAATGAGTTTGAGAAATGATACATTTAATTAAGCAAATGTGACAAACCAAAAAGCCTCCCTTCATTGTCCTCTCAGTTCTATTCAGTTCTGACCCTTTCAAGTAAAGAAAGCAGAAGCTAAAGGGTTTTGAAAACATACTGTAATGATGGATCTTTTGAAAATGCATGAAAATGCTAGGCTGATATGAGAAATCAGGGCAAGGATGAGAGACATACTTTCTTCAGAAAACATCCTTGTGCTACTTCCATATATTTGAGGTAATGGATAAAGATTTGTTAGAATTGGCAAGGCCTAAGGATTTGGTTTTTGGTTTTGTTTGGAATTTTTGCTATTAATTCAAGTACAGTCATCACTCAGTATCTATGAGTTCTGCCTCCATGGACTCAACCAACTTTGGATCAAAATGTTTGGGAGAAAGAACCAATTTTAAAATAACAGCACAATAATAAAATATAATATGAATGTAAAAGATATATCACTATTTACATAGCATTACATGGAAATCATGTATTAGGTATTATAAGTAATCTAGAGGTTATTTAAAGTATATGGCAGGGTATGCATAGGTTATATGCAAATAGTACACCATTTTATATCAGAGACTTGAACATGAACAAATTTTGGTGTCTATTGGAGTCCTGGAATTAATTTCCCATGGATAGCAAGGGACAAATCTACCAAGAACTGTGACCAAAGACCTTTGAGGTTCCTTTAATTCTATAAACCTATCATTTGAAATTCCTAGTCTTAGTAGGTAATATTTAGAGCAAAAACTTCCTACAGTTTAGAGTCTTCTAGGGTGAGTAAAGAAAAGTGAAATAATTTTCAATATTTATTTTTCTAATGCATTCATATAGTACTTCAATGTTTATGGACATTAAATATCCATCTTTAGTGCCTCTTCAAATATTTTGCTCTGAAAATGTTATAGTGGCCAAACAGTATGAAAATTTAACACAATTGTAATTATGTTTGAGAAAAACAGGAACTAGAATGTTTAGGTTTAGAACTAAGATGTTTAGATCTGTATTTTTAGAGAATTTATGCCAAAGAAACTGAGTCATTAATAACCTAAGAGTCAATATGTTTCTTCATACAATTTAACATAGAGAAAAAACCTATAAATAATTATTATTATGTAACAGTATATATTACTATTAGTTTAATTTGGTTAATACCAAATTGGTTATTTGATACTTTACTGCTGTAATCTTATGAGCCATTCATTGTAAATACTTTCAGTTTCAACAGAACTAATATTAATAAGAGAGGAAAATTAGAGACTATGACTTATACAACACTGAAATTCTTCTCTGTATCATGATTTCAGCTGAAATATATCTGTAATGCTAATTATAGAAATTGTGGTGAATATTCTGCAGAAAACACTGTTGAAATCAAAACCATACACTCTGAGTTGTGTCTCTATTACCTAATATACAACAAATCACAATTTTATTACATTAGGTAATGTGCATCTCTAAGAATCTATAAAGAAAAATAGAAATATAAATCTATAAATACATATTTGTATACAGATATAGATATAAATACAGATGTAGGTATAGATAAATATCTGTCAAACACTTTCAATAAATATAAAGATTTGGTTCACTATGAAACAGTAAATACCCATTATTTCCTTCTAAAAACAGTACCTGCAGATATGGTAGTTACAACTAGGATCTAGTGTGTAGGGGGCTGTGGAAGTTTGGGGACATAGATGGTTGCATGATGTAACCCTGAAGATGGATAAGAGAGGTTTTGAATTAGTACATGATCAGATCTTTAGGTTCTTTCCTTAAGACTCAGAAAGGTCCTTCTTGACAATTTGGTCACTTTGAGATGCTGAAAAAATTATTTAAATTCCTAAATATCAATTTTCTTGTCCCTAAATTAAACAATAACTTTGAAAAATATGTTTTTCATCTCACATTATAGGTTGATCAGCAGATATGTTAAAGACCAAGGGGAGAAAAACTAAATTGAAGACTTAATATATTGTACGTAGGTCAGGACCGCCAATTATAGTAGGTTGTTAGAGTAATGATTCATGATGAATCTGACCTTGAATATTCATATCCTTATGTAGTCCTCTCGCACAGTCACTCTGAGGTTCACCCCTGTGATCTGCTTTGTCCAGTGAAATATTTGCAAATGTGAGAGTAGCAGATACTAGATAGCTGCATAATAGGGTTTCGTCATTAGGAAGTCTTCTGCTGCCATGTAAGAGTTTTTGGCTATACTGCTGAAGATGTCATATGGAAGAGAACCACACCATCCCAGCAAAAGGTGTCTGCTAATACCATCTTGGACCAAAACAGGCTCAGCAATGTCTATAGGTACCAAATGAATATAGGCACATGAGTGACCCCCAAAAAGACCACCAGAAGAGCCATCCAGTTGAGCCAAATCCAATGTGTAGAAATGTGATCAAATAAATGGTCATTGTTTTAAGCCATTGTTTTATAACAAGTATAGATACTTGTGGTTTGTTATGTAGCAACAGATACTTAATATGTCCATTTATCTCATAGAGTAAACATTCTATGCTTTGACATTGAAATCAATAAATGATAATTAAGAGTGACCTAAATTTTAAAAATGTACTATTTTCAGGTGAGTAAAATAGCAAATACACAGAACATAATTAGAAAGCAAATTTTCAAATGCAATAAGAAAGACAAAAATATCTTTGTAAATAGATTTTCTGTGCTGGATTACCACTTTGTACTGTATAGGCAAAAACAAAATATATACAGATAGAGAATTTTGTTTGGGGAACTTACTGAAACATGATTTTCTATGAAGCATGTGCTGGAAAATCTTGCACAAAGATTCCTCACTTGGTGTAATGGTCCTACAGGTACATTGCACTTGAAGGATCGTCCCAAGGATATCTATGTAAGCAGCTTTGCAGTCATCATTTCCTGAACAAGTGAGGTCCTGTTTGCTTAAGGCACTAATGCAATTCTCATCTTCATGGCACTTTCTAGTCACACGCGGCCAGCATTTTGACTGAAATGTTCTATAGTGCCTCCTAGAGAAGGAGTGAAGAAAAATAATTAAATTTCAAATAATATTTCACATTAACATGTGATCCCCTATCACCTAATGAATGACATACAACACAATGCCTTTGAGATGCTAGTACGTAGTTGAAAAGTAAATTTGTAATTTGAAAAGTTCCCATAGGGAGTATGGGAGAAATTGTAATCTTGTGAATTATTGTCTTTTTGTGTGTGTGATGAAAGACAGAGGCTAAGTTGAGAATTCCCTGGATGGATTTTCCTTTATGACTAATTTTGTTCCATGTATGATGATTTGAGGTATGAACTACTTCAGAGATTATTGGCAATTTTTTGTGCCAAATATAGTTTTGTGGCTAGTCTTTGGCCACTGTGTCACACCAAGTGATTTCAAACGAGTTACTTGACCTTTCAAGTCAGTTATCTCACAGGATGGGAGGTGTTTTGTACTTTCTCAACAGACTAAGCAGACTAATTAGAATTTACAATATGTTGTGAGATATTAGTTTTCTATGTCTTTGATTATTCCTGTAATAACATTGAATAAAAGTCTGGATAATATACACTAATTTCATTTTTGAATTTTTAATAAGAATATACTTTTATTAATGGATTCAAAAATAATAATCTTTCAATTTAATATTTGTCACCTAAAATTGCCTTTTAATCTTTCTTGAGTAGGATGCCATCAAATATGTATGAAAGCCCTATGAGTATATGACATTTTCATGAGGTTATTTGTCCACATTGGTGCTACTATGTTAAAAAACCAAAGCTGCATTGTTTTTCATAATTAAATATTTAATTCATCTTAGAGTATAAGCTTTTTAATATAATAGTGAACTTTCATTAATGTATATTAAATTTATAATTAAGGAAATACTACAAATTTTCTAAACATATATTTTTTAGGCCAGAAAAACAAACATATTCCGTCAATGCAGTTAAGGGTTACATATAAGATATTTTTCTAAATGTAACTTTTGGAAGTTTTGACTGTCACTTAGATAGAGAATACATCTGTACCTATCTGCTATTTATTCATTTTAAATATGTGTTTTACTAAGTTGAAATTGCATAGTTTAGCTACTTACAGATAAGTAGGTAAATTTTCACTCAGAAAATTAACCATGAAATGTTGCCAAAATGATAACTAAATAATAATTAATTTAAAAAATACTACTTTGGTACACTGGATACCAAAATCATTTGAAATGTAAATGGACTAAATTCTCCAGATAAAAGACATGATATGGCTGAATGGATTAAATGGATTAAAAATTTTAAAAGCCAATGGTCTGTTAACTCTAAGAAGCATACATCATCTATAAAGAAACACATAGAGTGAAAATAAAGGGATGAAAAAGATGTTCTATGCCAATGGAAAAAAAAAAAAAAGCAGGAGTAGCTACACTTTTTAGACAATAGATTTTAAGACAAAAACTATAAAAAGATACAAAGAACGTAATTATGTAATGTCAACAGGTTCAACTCAGCAAGAGGATATAACAACTGTATATACAACCAACACTGCAGTACCTAGACATGTAAAGCAAATGGTATTAGATCTAAAGAGAGAGACTTCAACATCTCACTTTCAGCAATGGACAGATCATCTAGACAGAAAATAACAAAGAAACATCAGGCTTAATCTGCACTATAGATAAAAAGCACCTTTAGATATTTACATACAATAGCTGAAGAATATACATTATTCTCCTCAGCGCACAGATTATTCTAAGTGATAACCCATATGTTAGCTCACAGAGCAAGTCTTAAAAATTTTAAAATAATTGAAATCACATCAAGTATTTTCTCTGATGACAATGGAATAAAACCAGAAATCAATAGTAAGAGAAACTTTGAACGCTATGCAAATACATGGATATTAAACAATATGCTCCTGATTTATCAGTGTGCAAATGAAGAAATTAAGAATAAAATTTTTAAGTTTACTAAAACAATGAAAATGGAAGCACAGCATACCAAAACCTATGGGATATGGCAAAAGCAATATTAAGAGGAAAGTTTATAGCAATTACCACTTACGTGAGAAAAGTAGGATAACTTCAGGCTGGGCACAGTGGCTTATGCTTGTAATCCCAGCATTTTGGGAGACCAAGGTAGGCAGATCACAAGGTCTGGAGATCAAGACTATCTTGGCCAACCTGGTGAAACCCCATCTCTACTAAAAATATAAAAATTAGCTGGGCGTGGTGGGATGTGCCTGTAATCCCAGCTACTCTGGAGGCTGAAGCACGAGAATCGCTTGAACCAGGGAGCTGGAGATTGCAGCAAGCCGATGTCACACCACTGCACTCCAGCCTGGTGGTGAGTGAGACTCTGTCTCAAAAAAAAAAAAAAAGAAAGAAAAGAAAAGAAAAACTTTAAATAAACAACCTAGAAGTGCATCTTGAAGAACTAGATAATCAAGAGCAAACTGAATCCAAAATTAATAGTAGAAAATAAATGTGAATAAATATCAGAGAAGAAATAAATGAAAGTGAAACAAAAAAAAATTACAGAAGATTAACAAAATGAAAAGTTGGTCTTCTGGAAAGATAAAATCTCCAAACCATCAGCCAGACTAATAAAAAAAGACAGAAGATCCAAATAAATAATCAGATATTTAACAGGAAACATTACAACTGACAACACTAAAATTTAAAAGATTGTTAGAGATTACTATGAGCAAATATATGCCAATACATCAGAAAATCTAAAATAGAGAAATAAATTTGTAGACACATAAAACCTACAAAGATTGAACTATGAAGAAATCCAAATACTTAACAGACCAATAAAAAGTACTAAGATCAAAGCTATAAAAAAAAAAGTCTCGCAGCAAGAGAAAACATAGGACTTGATGCTAAATTTTACCAAAAAACTTAGAGAAGAATACCAATTCTACTCAAAATACTTCCAAAAATAGAGGCAAGAATACTTCCAAACTCATTCTATGAGGCCGGTATCACCCTTATATCAAAACCAGACAAGACATATAAAGGAAAATAAACTATAGGCCAATTTTCCTGAAGAACATTAATGCAAAAATCCTCAACAAAATCCTAGCAAACCAAATTCAACAACACATTAAGATTTTTCATCATGAACAAGTGGGATTTATCCTAGTGATACGAGGATGGTTCAACATGCAAATCAATCAATTTGATGCATCATATCAACAAAATGAAGGACAAAAACTAAGGATCTTTTCAATTGATGCCAAAAAAGCATTTGATAATGTTCTATATTACTTCATGATAAAACCCTCAAAACCTGAATATAGAAATAATATACCTCAATAGAATAAATGCCACATATGATAGACCAGACCCATAGCTAGTATCATATGGAATGGGGAAAAATTGAAAGCTTTTCCTTTAAGATATGTAATGAGACAAGGATGCCTTCCATCAGTGTTATTCAACATAGTACTGGAAGTCCTAGCTGAGCAATTAGACAAAGAAAAAGAGGGGGGAGGGGCACCCCAAATTAGAAAGGTAGAAAAATTATCCTTGTTTGCAGATTTATATAATTTTATATTTGAAAAGACCCAAAGACTCCACCAAAGAACACTTAGAACTGATCAACAGATTCAGTAAAATTGCAAGACATAAAATTAACATACAAAAATCAGTAGCATTTCTATATGCTAACAGCAAACAATCTGAAAAGCAAATCTTGAAAGTAGTTCCATTTACAATAGCTACCAATGAAATGAGACCTAGAGTATGTCTAAATGTCCAAAAGAGACAGTAAATTAACTAAGCTACATCCATGCCATTGGGATACTCTCTAGCCATTCAAAAATTTGAGAGTTTTCTTTTTTTTATTTCTTCTAAAAAAATGGGATACATGTGCAGAACATGCAGGTTTACTACACAGGTATATGTGAGCCATGGTTGTTTGCTGCATCTTTTGACCCATTCTCCAAGTCCTCTCTGCTTACCCCCTACACCCAACAGGCCCCAATGTGTGAATTTTCTTATATGCAATTATGGAAGGATCTTTAATCCACATTTAGGGAAAAATAACAAAAATAATGTAGAGAAGTATATAATATGATGCCATCTGTTTTAAATAAATTAAATAAAGAATACATAACTATTTAAAAGTATTTAGAATATTTTCCAAGCAAATACCTTATTACTTTTTGAGTTAATATATAAAAATATCATGTATTACAATTTTCTGTAAATACCCAGGCTTTTGTGAAATTGGCAAGACATAATCTCACCTCCCAGAGGTTATCTATACTAGAGAAAATTAATTGAGAAAGGGCATGCCTCTTAAATTGTCCTCCTTGGCTTTTAAAAAATAAAGAAATTTCAAATTCCATCATGAATTGAAAAATCTGGAACAGGGACAGAAATATATATACACGTATATATATTACATTATATACATATATGTGTATATGTATACATATACATAAATATATAATTTCTGTATCTGTTCCAGATTTTTCATAGATAGATAGATAGATAGATAGATAGATAGATAGATAGATAATTTTTTTTTTTTTTAAGACGGGGTTTCACCAGGTTGATCAGGCTGGTCTTGAACTCCAGACCTCAGGTGATCCACCCACCTTGGCCTCCAAAGTGCTTGGATTACAGGCATGAGCCACCATGCCTGGCCCAGAAATTATATTTTTAAACTGAAATGCCCTGCTTTGCCTATATACAGGCTCTTCTGAAAAAAAAGGCAAGTATCATAAAAGGCTTAATATTCTCATTGAAGAAGTGGTTTTCCACTTGGAGATGTTTTTCATCTGAATTACATTAACAATAATTTAATACAAATGCTAGAAATCTCCCTAAGGCAAAATTTGCTTGGGAAAATGATAGGATTTGTCTTTTCACATTGACTACTAATATTATATAATATTTCTGTTACCTCTCTAAAGTACTCATTAAGGGACTATTTGCACATAGTAAAAGGAAACTGAAGACAGTCCTTACTCTTGAATTAATCTAAGAAAGAAATTACATGTGAGGAAATATGTATATGTACTTTACAATATAAAAATTAAGTGTACAATATTCAAAAGTGAGAGGAAGGGAGATGACATTGTTTGAATGCTTATCCCATTCCAGACCCCACACCAAACATTTTGAAAAGGTGATTAAACCTGGGAGTCTTTGTTGGGGAAAATTATGAACTCTATGTCAGTTCATCTGAGAAGGTGTTGATACCAAGGGGAAGTCAGTGTAAGAGTGTGTGGTTCAGAGTCTATCACAGGAATTCTCAAGGACTGTAGAAGCAGAGCCATCACTTGCTATGAAAATATTTTCTTTGATGTGTATGCTCAGAAACAGCATGCTTTGAAGGTTGAATGCTAACGGCTTCCAGATAACTAGGTAGCATATCTAAAGCCCTGGCACTGGAATCAGGCAAAGCTGGGTACCCACGTGTGAATAAATCTGATATTTTTATAGTGATAGCTATTGAAACAATGGTGTCCTCTGGCCCTGGCTGGTTAAATATTAGGTTTCTTTATTGATGTAGGAATATGATAGTTAGAAAGACAGAATAGTAATAGTTTTAGTTCATTTGATGTGAGAAAAGTAGTGTAATCAAATGTGTTTACCATATTTCATTGATTTTAGGTGATACCACTATTTTATATACCATAACCAAAAAAACCCATCTGTTGGAACTTAAATTATGACAAATGTCTTTGTCATTTACCTTAGTATTTATTTCAAATAGGTTAGGGATGTGAAAATATGTAAAAAGAAATCACACCTCTCTAATAAGGATTTTTGAGATGATAAATGCGCATAAGCACCCAGCATCTACTGCCAACGATTCTGCATACATTAAAGACTCTTCCTTGCAAGATCAATGGACAGCACAGATATGACCAGAAGAATCTTTTTGTTTTTGTCACTATTCCTGGACTTGTTCATTAACAATCTTCTCTGTCCCTTTTCTCTTAATGTTAAGTATTACTTTGCTGTGGAATGTTTAACCTATAATACTTACATATTGATTAACTATACTATTATGTATGGTTTGCAATATTGACTGATTTGTGGAGTGGCTTGAGCCTGTGTGCCTATGGCTCTGACGATAAACTGAATGAGAAGTACTAAGGAGATTGCCTCTTTGGGAACTCCATGTAGCTCGTGGCTTTTGTGATTGAACAGTATTAATTAAAGCCTAACATTGTGAAAAGATATGACTATGTGTGGACCTGGTTATCTCTGACCTTGCACCACTCTTGTGAGTATTTAAGCTACCTTCTTCTTCCTGATCTCCAGCCTGAGACAGAAAGAATTTATTTCGAAGTTTGAAGGGTCTTTTTGCCATAATAAGATTTATAAAAGCTGTATGTAATTAAACCAAAAAATAATTTAAAAAGCTGATATATGTCAGGTATATTAACCAATTCATTAGTCTAACTTGAGTATGTAATTTTTATAATACTATTTCATGGCTACCACATTTTGACATACCGAATTTTTTATTTCAAAAATCAATTCTGCATTTGAATTTCAAAGACAATACTGTACATATACCACAGATTCAAAAAAATATGAATTGTCTGGCTTTATTTACACTGTATTGGATCATGGTGGGAACTCTAGCTAATGTAACGAGATCAAGTGTTAGGACTAGACTGTAACAAATAAGGTGCCAAAATAAGAAAGTAAGGAATGAGTGTTTTTACCCACCTGCATAATTCATCATTTTGGCAGCTGTGGATTACACTGAGGCAAGTAGGGGGTGAAACCATGTTCATTGCACATGGCTTGCTGTGAAGAGCTTCTTTGGACTGCTGACAAGGTATATCAGACTGAGTACAGTCACAAAAAGCCAACATCTGGGCAATGTTAAAAGGTATATTTTGATAGAAGAACCGTATGGCTGCTTGGCAATGTTTCACATCACACGGATTTCCATTTGCTGAGCAAGCTTTAAGGTAAGAGGCCAACTGTGCATTACAGACCACATCCCCTACACATGCCTCTGCCACTTCCAAACAGGACCACATCCTTTTGAATTCTGAAAGGAATGATATGCCCAGGTTGTGGAAAAGTAAATACAAAACTGTACATACAAAATCTATAAAACACTGTGAGAAGTCTATGAGCAAAATACAATGATGTACCAATGTCCTATTTTTGACAAACATTACATTTTTTAGAACAAGTATAAATTTACTGAGAAATAGTAGACTTATTGGAATCATCTTTCATCTATATGGGATATTGTGATCCAGAGTGACGGGAAGTGTGTAGGGCCAAAAATGAGCTGAAGAAAAAAATCTCCTGGTTCAGGGTTTTCAAATGTAAACAATAAATCTTCAGATATTGCATTTGAACTGTATAGCTTATGGTTAGCTCATTGGCTCAAGGCAAAATAATTCTTGTTCTGCTGTACGTTTTTGTGAGGGGAATCTTGAATAGAGGCTCCACCCAGTTATTTTAGCATATATAAATGTTTATATTTCTACATATATACAAGTATGCACAAAACAGTTGGTCCCAAATAACTTATATGATCACAAATATCCATGAAATGTAATCATTATCTAGTATTTGGGTTTTTGTTTGTTTTTTGAGACAAGGTCTTATTGTATAGTGGCACGATATCAGCTCACAGCAACTTCCATCTCATTGGCTCAAGTGATCCTCCTGCCTCAGCCTCCCAATGAACTGGGATCACAGGCACACATGCCCCCATGCCCAGCTAAGTTTTGATTTTTGTTTTTGTAGAGACAGGGTTTTGCCATGTTTTCCAGGCTGGTCTAAAACTTCTGGGCTCAAAGAATCCACCTACCTCAGCCTCTCAAAATGCTAGGACTGCAGGCCACCACACCCAACCTACTATTTGGTTTTAATTATTAAGTATTTCTTAGCACATCTATAAATTGATAATGAATGGGCAAAGTAGTTGCTTTAATATCATCATTAGGAGAAGAAATGAAATGATTTTGTTGCATTTTGTTATATTAGAACTGTTAAACCACATAATTTATTTTGTATTAATGTATCTTTAAGAAGTCTGGTAACAGCATTTTAAATTATACTGTCAAGTGTTTGCAATGCCGATCAAAATAATAACATATAAACATTACCATGATGGGAAGGTGTAGTTAGATTCCATTTGAATTTATCCTCTTTCATGTTATCTAGAAGGAAAACAAAAAAACTATTTCATTATTGAACAATTTTCTAAATTTCCTAGGAATAATGTGGGCTACATTTATAAGTGAATAAAGTCCACATATATTCAAGCAAAAGTACATACAAGGTTATCTAACACTTATTTAACCCTTGCTATTCAAAATTAATATGGTATAGATGAAGAAAATAAGCCTCTGAAATATCATTCAAGTGAGCTGAACATCCCTACTCTGAGGATTCAGTTACTTCAAGACTTAAACAAATGCTAGTGACTAGACGGTGTGCAAAGAGTAAACAACAGTGGACACTGACTGGGGAGACAAAAACAGAAGGCATATTTTCTGAGCACCATCTCCCACTGCCACCCAACATAAAAACCCTCCTAAGTAAGATAGTTTGATTTAGTTTGAATACAATTTTAAAACCAATTTCATCTCTGATTATCTTACCCTCCAACAGTTCTTATGAATTAAAATTATAGTATTGGAAAATTTCATCAATGGAAATGAACTCAGTGTTCATCTAATTTCAAGATATTTAAAGAAACATTGGTTGGTTCCCTACTATGTACCAGGTGACAAACTGAGGATGCAAATCTGCAGTCCCTGTCATCAAGCATCTCATAGCCTAGAAGGAAATACAGACATATAAAATTAAACCAAAAGAAAACAGAAGGAACATGAATGTATTGGTAAAGTGGCAAGGGAATCAGATGATATGATTTTCATTTTAAAGGGAAAATTATTATGTTTTCATTGGATATTAAGACATTAATTTCTATTATGACATAAATGTCCCTTCATGATTGTGTACTAATCTGAGCTGTTTGTTCATATTTCCTACCTACTAGTCTAGTACACATATCACAAGAAACTTACTTCTGACTCCAGGTGTGTTACAGCCTTCCAGACTCCTTATTTTTTGTCCACGTTATTCTCACTAGGCATTGTTTTTCATTTGGTTAATTGATCAAGCCTCAGCTTGAGAATCACTCTTTCTTCTTGATGCCACCCATCATCCTATCTCTCTGAGGAAGATCTGGAGGTTCCAACTTCTGTGCTACTATTCCATATTTAATAAAATCCCAATAAGCAGATCCCTTTAAATCCTATAGCTTTTGTAAAAGGTACATAAGTCTAGGCTGAACATTTTTTATGGATTAATACCTCTGAATTGGTCTGATCGGTAAGGTTGTGCCACTGACTAGAATACTTTCAAGAAACTACTCTGTAGGCATAAGTAAACAGAAGCTTCACTCACTGTTGTGGATGAATGTTTGTCCCATACCCCCTGAATTCATATGTTGAAGTTGTAATTCCCCACGTACAGTTGAGTGGTATAGGTGTCTTTAGGTTAAACAAGGTCTTCTCTTTCACTGGCATCAAAAATTCCACTCTTTGTAGCTTCTTTTCCCATCTTTAAAAACTTCTTTTTGGCTTCTTCAAATAGATCATAAAATTGTTCTGAAAATATTTTTCTCCTCTCTTTGTGTTTTCTCCTAGACAGCCTTATTCTCCTTTATGTTTTGTATCTACGTATAAACTTCTGTATATCTATTTTAGATTTATCTCCTCAAGATCCCTGCTTTCCAATGCCAGCTTGATGAGACATGTTCCTTAACATTTTTTAGACTTTTTTTATCATTGCAAAGTTAGAAAAAAATACTAATATTCCTGACTCGAATATTCTAAAGCATGTCTCAAATGCAATGTTTTCAGAATACAACTCATCACTTTTGTCCACAGTCCTGTACAAGTTATCACTTCTTGGCTCAGTGTGTAGCAATCTCCTTGTCCCAGGCTAGCCACCTGGAGATTATTCTTAATACATTTAAACTCCTCATATCCAACTGGTCACCAATTCCTATTGATTATTATTCACAAATATATCAGGAGTTTTATTATAATTCTCAGGATCAGTGTGTTAGTTCAGGCATGCATCACCTCTATCTCAAATTATTTTGATGGCTTTTAACTGGTATTCCTGACCTGCATCTTTCTCTGCCCACCCCCCGCATTCCTACCTTACTGCCTGTAATATCTTTTGAGAAACTGATGATATATTCCTCTATTTAAAATATGTGGCACATATACACCATGGAATATTATGCAGCAATCAAAAATGATGAGTTCGTGTCCTTTGTAGGGACATGGATAAACCTGGAGAACATCATTCTCAGCAAACTGATAGAAGAACAGAAAATGAAATACTGCATGTTCTCACTCATAGGTGGGTGTTGAACAATGAGAACACATGGACACGGGGAGGGGAGCCCTACACACTGGGGTCTGTTGGGGGGAATAGGGGAGGGACAGCAGGGGGTGGGGAGTTGAGGAGAGATAGCATGGGGAGAAATGTCAGATATAGGTGAAGGGGAGGAAGGCAGAAAATCACACTGCCACAAGTGTACCTATGCAACTATCTTGCATGTTCTTCACATGTACCCCAAAACCTAAAATACAATAAAAAAAAAAAGAAAAACAGAAAAATGGAAGTGCAAAAGCAAATGGAAATGCCACAAAGAGTTTCTACTATTTTCTTAGGGTAACTTTTCTTACCAATTAATTCCATATTTTAAGTAATGTTTTTGCAAATGTAATTTTTATAGAAATATACTGAAGAAACATTATAATTTTAATAATTATTGAATTTCTTAGACAAATTTCATAATCTTGTCATATAGCCAATGTATACTATAATTAAATGCTTTTAGAAGTGAAAAAAATAATAATAAAAAAAATGTAACAGCTCCTCATAACAACAGTTTGAAGTCTAATCTCTTTACAAAGATATGTAAGTTCAGTTTTCCTCCTTTTCATAAATATCTGTTTTTTTTTCCCAGGGTTATCAAATACTTTTCCATTCTGCTAGCCAGCTTAACAAGAGATTTGTTGTTCCCCCAAATGTTCGCCTCTTCATTCTATTTCTTCTGATTAAAATACCCATTTTATTTTGCCTCCCTAATGAAACCTAACCTACCCTAAAAGGCCCAAGTCTGACAATTGTGTGAAGTCTTCTGAGTCACCATTATTTTGTACTCTATGGCTTTTAGTACTTTGTCTATGTGTGTGTATGTGTGTATCCTTATCATGTGTGTAGCAATATATCACATCATATAAGTGACATTGTGTTTATGGTGTGTATGTGAGCATCCTTACAGATGACTATACCATGTATCACATTGTACAGGTGATATTTGGCCATTATTTTAATTAACAATTGAGATCATACAAAATATATTATTTAATGATACTTAAATTAAATCAGAAATCAATAATGAAAATAGCTGATAAATCTCAGATATTAGGAAATTAAACAAACTTCTGCCTGGGCACAGTGGCTCATGCCTGTAATCCCAGCATTTTGAAAAGCCGACGGAAGTGGATCATCTGAGATCTGGAGTTCAAGACCAGCCTGGCCAACATAGCAAAACCCATCTCTTCTAAATATACCAAATCAGCTTGGCATGGTGGTATGTACCTGTAATCCCAGTTACTAGGAAAAATGAGGCAGGGGAGTAGCTTGAACCCAGGAGAAGGATGTTGCAGGGAACAGAAGAAAATATTTTGACATAAATAGAAATTAAAACAAGATATCAAAATATGTGGCTATAGCCAAATCAGTACTTGGAAGGAAATTTATAGTATTAAATGCTTACATGAGGAAAGAATAAAATCTCAAATCAGTGGTTCAAGGTTTTAGGTTAAAAGGCAAGAAAATGGGGAGCACCTTAAAATCAAATCAGACATACACACAAAGAAACAGTAAATAGCAAAACTGGAAAGATACAAATTATACAAATTATCAATAACTAAATAAAAAGGACATCACTGCAACTGCTACAGACATTAAAAAGAACAATTAGGAAATACTAGCAGCAACTTTGTTGAGAGATAGAAACCAAAAAGGAAGAGTGAATTGAAAACTTTAAGAATAAAAATACAAAATAAATTCAGCATATGGAAGACACAAACTACCAAAGCGTACCCATGAAGAAGTAGATAGCAAGAATAGTCTTACAACAAGTGAACACATTGAATTTATATTTTCTAACCTTTTAATGAAGGATGGGCCAGATATCTTTCCTGGCTAATGAAATCAACCATGTAAGGAAGGAATAATATAAATTCTTTTTATACTTTTCCAGAATATGAAACAGGAGGAAATCCTTCCCAGTTCATTTTACAAGGTCAGCATAAATTAGATACCAAACAACACAAAGACATTATAAGAAAACAAATTAACATGCCAATATACTTCATGAACATAGTTATTTAAACAAAATATTAGCAGTTAAATCCAGAAAAACAAAATGAGTAATAGACCATGATTGAACAGAATTTAGCCTTGAATAAAAGGGCTGGAACAACAGTCAAAAATCAAATAATAAATTTCACCATATAAAAAACTAAAGGAAAAAAATGTGATCAGGCTTGGCAGGACATGGGGGAGGAGAAATGGAGAGAAGTTGGTTAATGGGTACAAATCCACAGTAACATAGAAGGAATAAGTTCTAGTACTTGATTGTACAGCAGAAAGACTATAGTTAACACCTATTTACTATATATTTTGAAATAGCCAGAAATATTGGAATGTTCCCAACAAAAAGAAAAGATGAATGTTTGAAGTAATCAACAGCAATGAAGGAAAAAAGCATTTGCAGAATTCAGCATTTATTTATCCATTTATGATTGTAAAAACAAAGAAAAACAGAAATATAAAAGGAATTTCCTCGACCTGATAAAGAGAACCTGCAAAGTGCACATGCACACACACACACACACACACACACACACACACAATACACACACTCTTTATGGTACAAAACTGAATGTCTTTTTTCTAAGACAGGTGAAAAGGCAAGATGCCCACTTTTAACAATTCTATTTAATATACTGAAAGCTCTAGTTAGGGTAATAAAGCAAGGAAAATAAATAAAAGACTGCAGATTGGAAAGGGAAATGTGAAACTCTATTATAGATGACAAGACTACTTATGTAGAATA